TGTTTTATGATTCTATCTCCCTCTCTTAAGGCTACAAAAGGAGATGGTGTTATAAGCTGCAAGTCAGAAGAAACTAGAGAGAAAAAGGACAAGATATAATTTGTTCTTTCAAGTTGTCTACTCAAGAAATCCAGAGGAAGTTTAAGTGGACACAGTCAGGTCTAATCATTTGCCTGTTTTTAATAGCACAGACTAGGATAAGGGCCAGAGAGTGTACACTTTTTCCTTGTAAAAGAAAAAGCATAGCATCATTAAAATAACACTTAAGTTTTCAAACTAGCAATGCACAGGATCAAAGTGACACCACTAGGATATATTAGAGGTAAAATTCATCTGAGCCTGTGACAGACAAACCAAAGAGAGTATTCCCTGACCAGGGGAAGATGGCTTTGTTGGGAGGATACCATTGCCCAAATCCCCACAGCCTTCCCACACCACCCTAGGGAAATAACTCGAGTGACTTCAGAGTGACATGCCTAAAATAAGGCTGTGTACAACATCCCTATGGAAGTAAAAGTCTTGACCATTTTAATCTCCAAGAGGTGTGTTCAAACACTACACTCACAGGCAACTGTTAGAATAAATCATGAAAGCAGTATACTGTTAAGGTTCACCATGTGAAAGCAAAAGGCCAATACAGTACAAAAGCAACGAGTTTTCCTCCTGATAAAATGGAGGAGGAAAAACAGACCCAACCCTGTTGGCACACTTTGCAGACAAATTCCTTTTGATGATTTATGAACTTTTTTCTTTCTCCTGTTTAACAAAATTACTTCAACAGTATAAAAGTTGGCAACATACCTATCTCAGAAGAGAGCTGCTGTATTCCTTATTGGTAAGCAGTGCACACACACACACAAAACCCCACACCCACAGGAAATTGAGAGCTATTCATTTAGTTTTAGCCAACTCTTCGTGAGACTGCACCTTTTGACTATCAGTTGATGGTAAACGTGCAACTGTCTAGTACTTAATCTCATAAAAACTAGACCAAAAAAAACCCTATCAACATTAAATTTAACCTTCAAAAAAGAACACAAGTGGTATGAATGCAATTGTCTGGAAAAATGCTACTTAGCAAAAACAAAACAACTACTCCCCCACATACATGCAATATTTAAAAGAAAGAATTCAAAGCTGTAATTATGTTCACACAAACCCAAACTGCAGAGTACAAGAAGTTCAATGATACAAAATTCTGTGTTTTTTGTAAACGACACCATGTACCCCATTTCTTCTCATATTTTTTCATTGGTGTTTGGGGGACCTGATGGGATGCTGTTCATTGCCATTACCAGAAAGAAAATATGGAATCAATTCTCATCATCTGCACAGAATATGAAACCTGGTAACAATGGTAAGCAAAAAAACAATCAGGTAAGTTTCTAGTAAAGTGTATATTTTGCTAGGTATAGTTTCTCTGAACAGCAGCTAGTTTTACTACAGCAGTAATATAAAGTTACAAACTACTGGGAACAAAAAATCAATAAGAAGAACCCTAAGAGATACCCTTGGGGAACTGCATTTGGAAAGGCAACAATCCTGTAAAAAAGACTGGAGGTCAGAGCAGGCACCATCTAGACACTAAATTTCCTGCACAAATCTGCAGCTAAAGAAGGAAACGTAACCTCTGGATGGATAAGAATGTTATTTCGTATAAGGCAAGGCAGGGAGGGAGAGTATTATCTAAAAAACAGTAACAACAAGGGCAACATGCATTTCTGGTCTATTCCCTTCAGAAAAGATTCAGAGAATACATCTTATATGGAGAGTTTAAATGGTCTGCATATTTGGCTTATCAAAGAGGATAACGGTTATCAGTGACTTACCAACAAAGTGGCTAAATGTCTCTACCAAAATTTACTCAGAAGATAAAGAATACATTAGCCAAAACTAGCACCACAAAAGCTGCTTCTGGTCAGATGAAAAAGTTTTGAGGAGTTCGGAATTCAACTCCTCTGCCTGACTGTACATAATTACAGTTGACTGATATGATGTGTGGTATGCTCAGAAACTCATCAACAGCAAGCTTGCTAAATACGATTTCCCCAAGATCCAATTTCAGTCGTATCCAGCTGACTAAAATCTTGTGCAGTTCCTCTGGCTTTTACATCTTCCTCACTTTGCAGCAGTGCTATCCATTCAGAAATACAGACCTCTGCATTTGGGTAACTCCAACTAGTATGGCTCTTGGAGCACAACTCTTCAGAAGCACAGGCTCCTCCCTACGCACCATCAGAATAACAAAATCAAAATTCATTTGTCTTCAAAGTGCTTCATGGCCTCAGTTCTGGGTATTCAAGGCTTTTCCCAGAACTCCAGGATAGACTGCAACCTACCATTCTGCTACTCTATCTAATGTTAATTGGTGCTAGAGATTCAAAATTTTATGTGGATAAACAAGGAATGTGATTTCCAAGTATCGAAATGGCAGATCTGAGCATCAAAGTTTATGATATCCATATCTTCTTCTCTCCACTTTTCAACTCACAGTAACTTGTATTCAACAAAAACACTATGCACTGTACTACATCCATGCACTATATAGTACATCCCTCCATGGATAAACAAAAAGGGGACATGTCTCCTTCCATCATTTATAGTCAGGAGTAGACATCTCTGTAAAGTAACAAAAGTTATGCACTCACTATAGAAATTACCGAGTGAGAGTTCACGATCTGCTCTAGAAAGACAGAAGGAATAGACACCAGAGGCTCATTTTGGGGACAGAAGCCTATGAATGTATTTCAAAGAAAATATTTTTCTAAAACTTGGGGTTTATGGAGTCCACAAGTCACAAGTAGCCCTGGCTACTGGCTAAGCATCAAGAGGGCCACCAGAGACTAAATGAGAGTCACCTTCGGCTTTGCTCCTTGGGCTGCAGAGAGGCACCCAGTAGGAGCACCAACAGCTGCCTGCCCCTTACAGCCCCACCACCCAAATGGGTGGATTAGGGAGAGCTCTCTGCTCCTTAAACACATCTTCTCTCTCTTTCACCTGGAGCAGGAAATTACCACCTGCAGCTGGAGGTCACTCATAAACTGAGAGAGCAGTTGTGGGAGATTTAACAGCAAACAAGTTTCTGCTGTTTTCAGAGCTCTGTCCGGGTACCCTAACTAATATTTTCCTTTAATTTAAATATCTAGGGGATTTTAAGTTAAATTTAATCTCATATGTGAATTTTGCAATTTTTCACTCATGGGGCTCCCCCCAATATTATTTTTAGGCTTTTTAACTTTATTTTTTAAAAACCAGCAAGTTACTGACACATCTCAAGTTGGCAGCCAAGTCTGAGCCTGGAAACTGCACAACCTCCACACAGAATGGGTTTCTGAGAAAAAAGCAGAACATTTCTGTATCTTGCTACATCATTAGCAAACCCTTAGCCTTATTGCTAGGATTTCAACATCAGCCTCAACTAAAATTTTCCTTTAAACTTTATCCAGCATCCTGTCTTTAATTTAGGAAAGGTTTCATATGAAGGGTGGACAGTCAAGGGGGAGATACAGAGAGGAAGGAAAAGGGGAGGAGAAGGAGCCAAGATTCAAAAGATTGGTAGTGGTGGTTGGCACTTTGGTACCGAAAGTCAATGTGATCTGTTTCATAAATTACCAGAGGGGGAAAAAAAAACCCTCAAAAGAAAAAAGTCCCTGCAATCTGTCCTGTTCTTGGAGCCAGGGTTTCTTAATAAAAGCAGAGAAGGTTCTCCATAACAATGGTAACAATACATGGCAGGACCTTGACATCTGAAGCACAATAATTAATCATCTCAACAGTATCATCCCCTTTTTACTGAAAGGGGAGCTGACTCAAAGACAACCAAGGGAGTTGCCCAAAACCACAACACCAGTCATTAGCAGAGCTGCAGTTGGAAGTTTCTTGGCTGCCAGCACTATTTTCAAGCACTGAAATTGGCAGCCAGTCCACAGCCAAAGAGCTGATACCATGTGCTCACAAGGGAGAGGGTCACCTGCTCTCCACACCGTGTCTAGGAGCTCCAGTCACACCACCAACATCAGAGAAGGATGAAGGGAGCGTGCTAGTGGGCTCAGTGACGAGCAGCAGTAGTGATGCTCACATCACCCCACAGACCTGCTCCGGTGGGCACTCAGCCCACAGGGGCAGTTGCAACCCCCAGGGTCTGCCCTGACAATCTCCTTGTGCTTGTGTAACTGCTGAAGCCCAGAACACTTGGGACAGAAAAATAACCCTAAGGAGAAGTCTAAGCAAGTAATTCTGGCCAGGTTTATTACCCTGCATTGCCTCACTGGGTGCAGTGCAAGACAGGAGACAGGCAACCCAGAGACTGCGAACCTAAACTACACCTTATCTTTGTGCTTTACATACTCAAGGGAAACTTCAGATCAGTTCACTTCTCAAGAACAATGGCTCTTTCAATCTCAGCCTTATAGATTTAAGGTGCATTTTACAGTACTGATTTCAGTTTTTCTTAATTGCTTAGTCAAGAGTTCAGAGTGAGTTACATCCTACAGAACCAGCCACCTCACAACAAGGGTGTTCGAAAGCCAAAGGTAGCCTTTTTTCTAAGGGTAGTTTGAAAAGTATTAAATAGGTTAATTTTCCATCTCAATTTTTACAGAAGCAGAACAATTCTTACAACAAGCAGATTGGGAAACACAGTATGACAGAGATGAGGAGAGGGAAGTGAATATTCCACTTTTACGCTAAAAGCAGAACCACAGAAATTCGCTTTTTGTAACATAATTAGTCTTCATTTATACATAAACTTACATCTAGGACTCTGTTATATTAATTGAATATATTCCCCTGCTTTCTATATTCTTCCTGATACCTGCCTATACCAAGTTCTCCAGACGTTCCTTCCAACTCACTTGATCCTTTGAAGCTGACAGTTATCTACACATTCAGGCATTGAAGTAATTTATTCTTTTAGAAGTGCTAAGCATTTACAACTTGTAACATCAGATTGTGCAAATATTCAAATTTTCTGGAAGTAAAAAAGAGGAAAAAGCATTTACCTTGATGTCTACATTTATGTATATAGTCTACCCCCACACACTGTTAGAGGCTTATCCTTATGCATTTCCCATTCTTCTCCCTGTGCTTTCCAGGTACTTTCCACATATTGCGACATAACAGCTAAATAACACAAGAAAAGGAACTCAAATTACCTCTTACTGTTTTATTCAAATTGTCTCTCTTATTTTGTAAGATTTCCTAAGATGGCTTCTGTGGAGACAAAAATACTCATAAGCAATGTCAAAGGAAGTTATTAAAACTCATCTAGCAGTGATGCAAGAGTTTTGCACTGACACACACTAACACAAGAAGAAACCACAATGTACCAGTTTAGACAAAAACAATTACTGGACTTTGCCTCTATTTGGTCTCATCAAAATTAAGTGTTACAATAAACAAGAACACAAACACACCCAAAATGAAAAAAAAAACAAAACTACAAAACCCCCCGCACGCAAACACTTCAACAAGTTACTGTGGTTCTGCATGTGTAAAAACAGGGTTTTCACTGCCAAGACTCATTAAAAAAGAACAACCAGAAAATGTCTGCAAAACAGATTGGTATTATAAAGTGCATTAACAGCTATTAATAATAGAATATACATCAACCTACTGCTTCTCAGATAATCAATATTAATTGGCAACCTAATTTGGAACTGTTAAGGCACAAGATTTTGGAGCTGCAATTCGTTGGGTCTAAGCTAACGGCGGGTGAAAATAGGCCTGATAAGAGTTACTTCCTTGTCATTTCCTTTCAAAAATGACACAATGCTGTTTCAGCGATCAAAGTAATTTTTACCTCATAAACATACCTCTGAAAATAGATTAGGCCGTACAGAACAATTTTATATTTATGATCTGAGCTATCAGGCAGACCTCACGTGAAACCTGACTTGCAGTTCACAAGGGCTCCAAGTTCCTTGGAAGGAAATAAGATAAAGGCATAGGGAAATATGGGGGAAGGAAAAGAAAATATTGGGTGAGAGGTCTGGCACCTATCAACATCGCTGCAAGCTTGCCAAGTCTCATAATTTCATCACTAGGCTTCAGGCATACTAAAAGAGCTATTATTCATTTTTTTTAATTCTACCTCATCACATAATCAATAGGATGGATGCCAAAAGCCAGCCATTACAAGGAAATCATCATGGCAAGGATTAAACCAAGATTATTCTTTGTACAGACTGGACCATCTATCATTGCTTTAAATGGGACCAAAACATAGATACCCCTTTAATTGGAATGGCAGAAAGAAACATGAGAATGCTTCAGAAGGACTCCTCCAGAAGAAAAAACAGCAGGGAATGGGTCAGGAAATACCCATGAAAAATGTAAGCAACCAACAAAAAACATGGACAGGAGATACTGACAGGATTCAAGGGCACATTTGGGGCAGGATTCAGATGCCTGTCTGGAAGGATGAAAACCTAAATGTAAATGGGGTGAGAGAATGCAGAAAGGAAGCAGAAGGTTAAAAAAAAAAATGAAATAAATAAGTAACACTGATGCCATCCACAGTAGCTAGGGATAGCTGAAAGAAAGAGGGTGGCCTTGAGAAGGAACATGACCAGGACAGCCACTTCTTATAACACAGGAGGACAAGCATGGGACAGCTGCATTTCCCCAGCCCAGGCTGCTGGGGAAAGGATAAACAAAGCCCTCTCAGAGAAAGCCGAACAACACACACATTCCCAGTTCAGGATTATATTTTATCCTGAGAAGGCATTACACAAAATAGAGACAAAATATTTTCTTCTAGAGGTGAAGATGAGAGCCAGTGGAAACTGCTACTTCTTCCTCACAGTATCTCATTTTAAAGCCAGTTCTGCGATTGCTGGGATCTGGCTTACAATTTGCACGTGCCTGGGGCAGGCAATAAAGCAGTGGTGAGAGGCCTCACTGCCTCAAGTTGCAGAACTTGCTAGAAACAGAGCCTCTTCAGTGCCTGTTTTACACAAAAAGGAAGACTGAGCTTGCCCTGGGAAAGACAGTATAACAGTGCAACACAGATTTATCAATATCCATTCCACAGAAGAGAACAGTACTGAACAACATACACTATATAATATACGTAGAATACAGGAGGATAACGTCTTCAGAAAATACCAGCAGCTGAATAGGTAAATTGTTATCCCACACGCACACCAAAGTCCCCCACGTTGCACTGACACTGGACAAACACACTTCTTGGTCAACTGTATCTGAACAAACCAGCCTGAACATAAATACTTCTACCTATCCCATTCTGGCCATGCTGCTTTTTGACAAGAGCACCCCAGTGGCAAAGGCACAGAGGGCATTCCTCAGCCTCCAGCTCCATCAGTGCAGTGGCAGGCATGCAGTGGGATGGCAGCTGAACAGCCTGCATGTGTGCGGAGGGGTGCCAGCGCAGGTCGGGCTGAAGATACTCTAAGTGGCTGAAAATAGTCTAAGTCCTGAAAGCAACTTTAATTACCCATTCCTGGAGCATAGGAGGACCGGTTGGAACACGTGCAAGTGAAGCAGCTCGTTTACATAACAAATGAGGTATGCATTGAAGGTGCTTTGTGTAACAGAGCTGCAGAATGCAAGGCCTCTCACCTGGAGAGCTGTATTTTACCAACTATATGCATACAAGACCACCTTAGTGTAAATAAAATATTCATAACAAGATCCAACAATGGCATGAAAGAGGGTAGTTTAAATGGACAAAATGCCTAATACTTGCAAAAAAACCTAAGAAGCAAGCAAGCCTTTGATTCTTGCATACTGCACAGAATGCCAAGAGTCATTCAAAGTTTTGAATTCTTGCTTGGGCAGCTACCCTCCAAAGGCTAACTCTACTTAGCAAACAAAACATAAATGGAAAAAAAACCCAAACAAAACCAAAACCCATAAACCAAAAAACCTCAAGAGCATCTACAACAGCTAAATCTCTGAATCCAAGGAAAAAGTCTTTTAGTCCTGGTCTTCATACAATGATGCATTTAGCTGTTTCCACTACATTTTCCAACCAAGAGCCAAAAAGAACAATAGGGATTTTTGAGGCCTGTAAATGGCACAGAGCTCAGGAAGAAAGGGGAGACAAAAATGAAACACACAAGTGATAGAGCTGGATAGTTACAGTGTGGATCGTATACAGAAAGACAGTGACAATCCCTGTGTAATACTACTTCTTTGTTTGGCTGTTTGTTGTTTGAATATGGTTATCCCAACATCTAAGAGTTTTGAAAACATCTACTCTCTACCTGTGGAAGCCTCTGAAGCAGAAACTGAAAGAAAGTATCTATATAAACACTGCCTTTAAAAAATGCTATTAATAAAAACAAATAAACAAATAAATTTAAAAATAATCAGCAAACTTGCAGCTTCCTTCACCACACTAATGATAACAAATACTAATTTCAAACTCAAATCTAGAGGTTTTCTACTCATATAGACTCTGTCCTAATAAAAACAGTCCAAATTTGAAAATACTACAACAAGAAAAACAAGTTTTAAAAGTGTTGAAGTTAAAACAGCTTGAAGATCTTTTTACCTTTCAAATATCTGGGATAGGAAGGTGGGGGAGGCAATATGTCAAAACTGAACAAAAACTTTTCTATCTCATCTGTTACTTTAAAAAAAAGCTCTGAAACAGTAGCATAAGTACAGTCTATCTTGCTAAGCCCTATGCCTAAAAGGGCATATGTTTTTGTCTTCTAGACTTTGTACATCAGTTCACCAGGAGAAAGGACTGGGTCAGAAGCTGTATAGAACAGAGATGGTCTCTGCTTGGAGAGTCAGAGACAGATGTAACTGAAAAATAAACATCTCAATTATTTGCAGGGTTCTGTCAGGGAAAGAAATGGTTGTCTTCAACCCAAAAATCAAACCAGTGAGACGATTTTGTATAGGAACATGTTTATCTTACCCTCTCTCTTACCTTATCAGACACATCTCCTTGTCCTATTCAAAATACAGCGAGTCATAAAATTCCATCTGCAACAAAATAAAAAGCCCATTAATGCCTCCCGATAACCTTACAACAAAAGTCTAATAAGCAGTTCAAGAAAAAAAAAAACCACCTAAATTTCTCCCACCATTCCAGTATAATCTACACTCCGGGCAAGTTGCCCTCCTGTCTGCAGCAATCTGGGAAACCTGGATATAAAGGTATTAAAGATGTTATAACATGTTCTCTAAGAAACATGCTCTTCCTCCTTTGGCAAGGATAACAGAGGTAGTCAAAGTGTACAGGTTGCCCTGCCGAGTTGTAAGTAAGTCTGCAGCATCCTCTCATGAAATTAAATGAGCATCAAATTACATAATGTGAATGGCTGTAAAATGAGACCAATGGTAATGGCTAGAAATAATCCCAGCAGTGTTATACATCGTGGAGACAATTTTCCATCAGAGTATCAAACCTGGGTAAGCAGCACCTTTTATCTCCAGGCCAAGAAACTGTCAGCAAGCAGCCTTTCTTAAACACAGTAAAGCATGCAAGAAACTGATGGAACAAAACTCTCATGCTCAAGTTTAAATGCCCACCCTGAACAACTACATTTAATTTCTTAACACCTTTACAAACCAACCTTTCAAAGCAATCAAGGTGTTTTTATAATATAGGTAAACATAACGCAGTCTGGCATACTTGGGATCAGAGGAAAGACTACCGCATACATAACCAGCAAATTTGCAACCTTAGAACTGTCAATAAAAGTTACAGTCATGACAGATTTGGGCTTGAACACTTATCCATGGTACCATTAAGAAAATATGACATGACCTGCAATCCAGCCAGTCCGTGAGTCACTAGGGCAGAAGAGAGACTTCCCATATGGCAACCCTGAAAAGCGCTAAGAGTCTGCCTAGAGTGAGAAATGCGAATCAAGGACCTAAAAAGCCAAACCAACCCTTTCACACACCCTTTTAGCCTTTTCAGTGTCCTGCCCATAAGGCCTGTTAGTCCACTGCCAGGCTGGAAAAGGTCAGGAATGTGCAACAGTGAAATGGCACACCATACCAGAGAACACAATTAAAAAAAACAAACAACTAATGCTGAATTTTTCAATCCAGTTATCTGGGGGACATATGGCAGGAATTAAAGGACTTGAAGCAAACAGTTTTCATATCTGCTTACTTTTCCTATAGTCATGCTACTGAAGAGTATCCCTGTGCCTAAAGCACAAAACTGGATGCACACTCACTTGGCTTTCCTTGAACATGGAGCAGCTGCAATGCCAATAGACCCCAGCAGGAACCCACAGGTGTTCACTGCCACAGAAAGGTGACTGACAGCCTCCACCATGCTGTGCTGCCATTTCCCCACCAGCAAAATGGGGATGGGTCCCCAGCCAGGAGTCTTGCCTGTGGGCCAGGGTCCAAACTGCCTCCTCTGGGATACTTCCTTTGCCCCCTTTCTTCAAGTGCACGTTAGTATACACTTTAAGTGCTAAAAAAATAAAAATAAATCTTTCATCCTGTAAATACCGTTTTCTCAGATTCTACTGATGATCGTTAATTTTTGGCATTACGAGAATAATATGACAACATAGTTCCACCACTGTGGGTTTTTTTAATTTTTTTTTCCTATAAAGAAGAGATCAAAATTTTGTCTACATTACAGAAAGATTTGAACAAAAGAGAGCTACTGACCAAGAGCCCCCTTCAGTATCCCTACCCTCCTATTCCCCTGCCAACCCAGTAAAATTCCTCAGAGCACAGCCTCTTCCAGGCTATTTTCAGAGCAACTGTAGCAATCATACAACAACAATGGGGAAGTTTGTTTTACTCAAAGAGTAAATGTTTTGCAGCTCCCAATGCAAATATTTTAATTAATGGATTTTTTTTTTAACTCTCTACTGCCTTACTTGTGTTCACATTCACACAGACCGATCAGGACAGAAACAGAACTCAACTTCTATAATACAAAGGAAAAGAGAAATACAGCATAGAAAATGACACATTTACTTCAGAAAAAGCACTTTCATAAGCAAATCAAATCTCACTAGGCATTTACTGGGGGATATCTGGGATAAAAAGGATTTTAAAAAAGCAAGTCTGCTCATTTCCTGTGTCCAGCTGAGGGCCTGTGTTAGTTCCCATCGAGATAGTGGGCCTATTTTAATAGCCAGTCTGCAGAAAAACACATCCTAATCTACTTCCAAAACAACATTACACCCAGTGACCAGGCTACAAGCAAAAAGCCTTGACTTATCGTTTTGTGTCAGACATCAATATGGTGGCTCTTAACTATCCATGACTCTGCATCCACTTCATAGAAACTCAGATCTCCTCTTAATAATCCATAAACCAAGCGTTGCGGACTTTGTTGGCAGGATTGGACTCAGCTGCACTCTCTCGAGGCTGGACTGTTTTAGTACTACAGAAGGTAGCTGGACTGAGACGCCAAGGCAACCTGCTCCTCTGCTTGTTTCTGGATCCAGCAGCACCCCCAGGTGCAGGCAGCTCTTTCTCTCTGCACAGTGCCTCTCCCCACAGAAACTATCTTCCTCCTCTGCCCCCAGATACGAGGATAAAATCTGGATGTGATATCAGCAGATGGCTGGCATTCAGGATTTTTTTTAATTTTCTTTTTCAAATGAAGTAGGACACAGATGGTGACGTTCCTGCTTTCCCAAAGCCTGGAACGTGAACGTAGACCTGTCTGAGCTGGGAAGCTCAACTCCATAGTATGTTTCTGAAGAGCTGCAGAAATTACTGCACGGACCAGTTTAGCCTGAACCAGTCCCACACGTGGCAGTGTTTCCCTTCCCCTGCTTTTATCTGAATGGAAGGTTTTGTTCCTCTTGTACTGACCTCATCACACTTGATGCCTGTTAGCAACATCCTTCTAGAAGTTCAAACAAGCTCTTAGAAATTCCCTGCCAATGTATGCAATACATATGCTATCCCAGGTAAAATCCTCACTGTATTTTTCAAAATACATTGCATTTGTACTCTTCCACCACCTCATGCAGGATGCTGGTTGCACACTTCCCAGACTCTGTGATTCTCGCAAACCACCATCCACACCAGCAGCTCCATCACCTCCAGGCCATCGCGGTGGTGGCACTTGCCTCATCACATCCCATTAGGCAGTGGGAAAGGACGGGAAGAGGCCTATTGCCCTCTGTCCTGCAAGGACTACTAACTGAAGGAGGAACAAGATCTCCTGATTGCATTTCATTGAGAACAAACCTTCCACAGTCCTAAATTAGTAAATGCTAACTATCAACCCCTCCCTATTTAGGATGGGCAACAGTGGGGGAAAGAATGCCTGGCTCTTACTTGAGAGAGACCCTTTAATTTGGTATCAGCATGAGACACTGAGGACAACAACTGCTGTTTCTGCCCAGGCAGCCTGAGCCTGCTACTCATGCATCAGGAAGTGAGCAGAGGGATCACCCCCTCACGGTGTGCACCCAACCACGGTACCTGACTCCTATGGATGGTAAATGGATACCGGAGGATGATGCCAGCTGAGAGCTCCCCTTGCGGCAGGATGGTTCAGAAACGTTTGCAAAATCTTTCCTGTCCCTGCCAATGCCACAAAGTGAAAGTAAATCTCCTCATCCTGCGTTTGAGTGTTATCACCACTGCTATGATTGTACATGCATGGACAGCATCAACTTTAACTTCCACACTGAAAAATGCTTTTCTTTAAAAAACAAATAAAAAACACAAACAAACAAAAACCCCAAACAAACAAACAAAAACCCAAACACAAAAACAAACAAAACCCAAACAGAAACCAAACAAACAAAAACAAAAAACAAACCAACCAAACAAAACCAAAAACAAACAAACAAAAACAAAAAACCAAACCCCACAACATTTGTTCCCATATATTCTTCATCAGATTTCCTGGCTATACATGCAACATTAAAACACAGAGTAAAAATCAAAGTAAATATCTCTGCTTGGCACAGAGCTCTTGCAAAACACGGTTTTCATAGAAGACCCAAGTGAGGAGGCAGACTTTGCATTAAGCCCTCAATGTGCATGGACTCTGGAAAATGAGACCTCTCAGCAAGCGACCTAAGGTTTACGCCAGTCCTTCCATCTTCTTCTCTGACCTCTTCCAGAGAGCTACTGCACTTGACTTTTTCATATGCCTATTTAATCAGCAATGTGAAACTTGCACAACCATATTAGTGTCTCTGTGGTCTTGTCATCAGGGCAATGAGTAGAAATGCTCCCCGAAGGAGCAGCACATTCATAAGTCTCCCATGCCCACGGGATGGAAAAGAGAGCGAGGAGAGAACAGATGAATGTTAATCTCTCCTCCCTGCCGCCAGCAGCAGTCTGTACTCTCCCACGCAGCGTAGAGGGAGGCTGTACAATTCGTTGAGGCCAAACTGTCTGGAAAAATGCAGAGAGAGAAAACTGATGGTAAATTCTCTTCTCTATCAATTCTCTTACTGTAAGGAAAGTGAAAGTCAGTCATTGCTGATGGAAGCTGAGACCACAGGGTCTTTAAGGGTCTGCTTTTATGCAAACTGCAGCGCTGGGCTACGCGGGATTGTATCAGTTCAACACATTCGCTACCTAAAATGTTCTGCTCACACACTGCTTGCACTCTGTGACTTCTTATACGGAATACTTCCACTGGCAGATTAAGCTTTTTTCTGATCATAGGAGCACACAAAAAGGACCCAACACCACTCCATTATGGATGTTAATTCACAAATGTAGGAGTCCTCTCCAGCCTACATGACTCCAAACACCTACTTCCTAACCACGAGTAGGTAGCCAATAAGCACACAAAATACCAAGCCCAGAGCAGTTGCCACCACACACACTTCTTTAACTGATCTGTGCCTCAAAGGTGTCTGTCAGCACACAGTACCATACATGTGCCAAACGAGAGCATAGGAGAGAAGCTCCAAGCAGGAAACAGAAGCTTGTCTTAGAATAGCACAGCTCACTCAAGTGTAGTGCTGTGCTCAGATTTGGTTTTGATTTGCAAACCTTGCTGTCATTGGCTAGGAGGGT